GATGGACCAGGACGACCCGGACGCTGCTCAGTTGTTTCCTTGCCGTGTTTCCTGAACTTCACGATGATTCTGTTGACTGTCGAAAGCGGGATTCCCAAATTCTGCGAAATTTGCCGCTGACTTATTCCACCATCTGCTTGACCAACTATCCTTCCTCTAACAAAATCTGACAATTCGAGAGAACCTTGAGTTCTAGGCATGTTGTAGCACAAGACAATTAGTGTGCGGACCATTTTCATTTATATAGTGCTCTATGAATACAAATTAATTAGCATAAATCAGTTAAATTACAAAAAATTAGGTGTCTATTTACTTGTGACCGCTCAGTGTATATACAAGTAGTACTAACCAAATATAAAATGAGAACTGCACAGTCTATGGTACGACGGCGGTTTTCAAGCCTTGTCAGTGTTGTTCGGGTCTGCACGATTTATTGCCGCAGTCCATTTAACTCCACGTACTGGATCTTTTGGAAACCTATAAAACGAAAACTCCAGATTTTGTGTCTGGTTATTTGTACAACTAACTGCCGCACAGCTGATTGTCATTTCAAATACTTGATCCTAAATTTCAATACCAACAACTACCTTGTGTTTACTACTAGATTGTCTCTCTTCTACGTCCGAAATGGTGGTGCTTACTTTTCGGCTTGCCGGTGATATATGCGTGACGTCAGCGCATAGGGTCTATACTATTAAATACAAGAGATATCCTCGACTCGTAAATTCTAAATCCCCGATCTGAATACACTTTTATGATCTGCACGAGCGTATGAATATTATGCATCGAAAAGGGCTGTAACATACCCTTCTCAAAAGGGGAAAAATTGTAGCATCACACTACCCACGATACTTTTGATATTGTTGCGTCATCGAGGTCACGTGACTGGTATGGCGCCCTCTAGTTTCTAGAACTATCTTGTTCCTTCATGAATGCTCTAGTATTTACTAGATAGGGTAGGCTGGTATATAAAAGAGGGGAATAATGTGTGTGTAGGGAGTGAGTAATTGAACTGCAGTCAGAGAGCACGAGAGACGTTACAGCGTTTGTTTAGCGCGATTGTTGAAGTTGAGTGTATTGGTAAAGTTATATTCGGAAAGAATAAACCAGTTTTATTAAGAAAGGACTTGTGTCGCTTAAGTTTCGTCGGAACGAAGTTACAGAAAATCAATTAACAAACGGAGACGTAACAAATTGGTGTCAGAGAGTGGGATAAAAAGAAAATGGAAACGAGAAGCGGCAAGTCAAACAACAGCCTAGCAGACTTAATGGCAGCAATACAAGAACAGCAAAAGAAAAGAGAAAACAACAGTTGCAAGAAAACCTGCAACAATGG